ATTTTTTAGAGAGTTTTTTTTGTTACCTTTGATTTTTTTTTGTTACTCCTTTGATTTTTTTTTTATTATCTTTGATTTTTTTTTTGTTATCCCTTTGATTTTTTTTTTTTATTAATTTCAATTTTTTTTTTGATTTTCATTATCTTTGGCTTTTTTTTTCCTTATATTTTTAATAAGTAATAAGGGAGATCAGAGAAAAAGTAGTGATATATAAGAATATAAAGTTGTTGGAGATGGGCCTAGTTCTTTATTACTATTATGTTTAGCAGATAAAAGAAACTCTAAAAGTTTTTTATTTTATTTATTTATTTATTTTTTTTTAACTTTTTTTTTTTTGCATTTGAAGACATATGCTCTTAATTGATTAACACAACTAATCACCAATAAAAGAGATATTTTGAAATATATAAAAGTAAGTATTTATTTATTTATTTAGAGTAAAATGTAGGAGATTATAATAATAATAACTAATCTATATTATAGAATTTCATTAATAAGTTTATTAAAAAACATGTAAATTTTATTATTATTATTATTATTATTAAAAATTAATAAATAAATTTAGATTGTAATTTAATTTAAAATAAAAATAAAGAAGATCTATAGGTCTATAGTATAGTAGTTAGCACTCCACAGATCAGATCACAAGATACTGATTCAATTACAGGTGAAGGTGATTAAATAGTTTCATATGGTATCTGGTACCGTAACCTGTTATGTACTGTTTCTCATGCAAAGCCATTTTATACCCTGATTCAATAGGTGTTGAGATTGTGTTCTCTGAAAAAGGTGGAATGTAGTGTTGATCATCTGGTTGGTGTTACAATGATCGACATTGTACTTGATGCATTCCTCAGTTTTATATTGATTGCTTTCTTTCCTATAGTTTACGAGACTATAAAAGAAAAAAAAAACTTGTTAACTTCATTAGGCAACTAACGATTACTTTCAAGTTGAAACTCTACAAAACATGTTTAAAAATTCATGGCTACTCTAAGAATAGGTCCCTAAACTATTTAGCATATAAAATTTTGCAGATCAATTATGTCTCTTTTAAAGGGACATAATTATTTATTCATTACTTTAATAGGAACATAATTCAAAAAACATTTGGATCAAGTGGCCTAAATTGCAAAAAACCTTTGTAGGTAGTTTTTTTTTGACCTTATATTTAAAAAAAAACTTTTTTAATAGTAAAGGATATTTGAATTATGTCCTTGCCTTTAATTTAGGGACCCATTTTTAGGCCACTCTACAGGAATTGTACCCTACTTGGTATTTATACCCCTAGATTTGGCAGCTTAAGCTGACTAAAAGATCTATTGAAGTGTTTACTGAAAGAGTAAGGAGTCATGTCCCACTTGGCCAGCAACCAAGCCTCCAAATTTGGTAGTGTGTATCAATTGTAGGAACTCTTAGAGCATTTACTAGAAAGTGTAAAAAAGTAAGCTCCATGATATCAAGTATGTGAGTTGTTAAATTAAGTGGTAGGGGACTCTAGTGATAGCTAACAAATAAAAAACAAAAACAAAAAGTTATCTGAAGTCCATGCTCAGGTATGAACCCACCTTCACAGTATAAGTTGGTACTTGGGTTAGAATAAGGATAGTGTGTCAGTTAAACATAAACTGTTTATGTAATGGTTAGTTGTAATTTATAAATTTATAATAAAAATCCTTACGTGTATTGTATCTTAGCCCTTAAAATAAATAAATGGATAATTATTTTTGAAGGCGTCAAAAATGCTAGATATTATTTTTTCGGACCCAGCTTTTAAACAATACATATATAATATAAATTTTAGGATCACACCAGAAAATTTCCGGTCCACCTTCGAAAATAATTACCCAAATAAATAAATAAAGATTTAAAAAAAATTTTTTTTTTTAATTCCGCAATTAGGTTGGTGTCGTTTATTTATTAAATTATAAAAACTATTACATGCACGAGAATATATGCAAAGTACAAATTTTCCATTCCAACTCATCCGTCTTTAGCCAAAGCCTCTAGATATGATTTATGGGGTGATATATTGTTTCCTTAAAAAATAAGATTAAAATCCTGAACTTTCGATAGGATTAGCACCTGCAGATCACCTTCACAGTTATGACCATAAATCCAAATTGTATCACTTCCCTTTTGTAGAAACTATACAAGGGGAAAAAAGAATAAAAAAAGAAATTTTTTTTGACAAAGAGAAAAGAAAAAAAACTATCATCTATTCTAACTATCATTGAAAAGATTATCTCAGTGAACTTAAAACCCAAGTCCCTCATGATTTTCCACTTCTTATTACCTGTGGCCAGTCAGACTGTTTAATTTTCAATGGAGTAGTTGATGTCCAAAAACATTTAAGAATACTTTCAGGAGAGTATTTCTTGAAACTTTACACTTGAAGACTTTAACCAGAAAGAATATTGGTTTTTTATTGTTAATTTCTCTTTCAAGCCATGTCTTCTGGAATTATAGCTTCACTTAACCAGTGAATAGTTTCAAGATTTCTTTCTCCAATCATTTTCAGGATAGATATCAATATTTCAACTTGTTACCAGATTGGGATAAAACCTAGACCTTATTGTTACTTCCTGTTCTTAAGAAAGAATAGAAAATAAAATAAAATAAAATAAAAGGATGGGAATAAAAAGAAGTTGCTTCTCTTCTTCTCACAATTTTAACTTGAAACCATCCAACTCTTTCAAGAACCAATCATATTATTGGTTTGATGTTGCGTAACTGGGAACATGTGAGAAGTACATGTCTTGTTTATTTTTTCTGTAGCTGACATGATCAACCAATCTGTAATCTTAACCAATTATCTTTCAGGAAATCCGGTGTGACCAAAAAATTTAGGATCAAACTGAGGTAGGCAAAATTCACCAGAAAAACCAAAAAAAAGGAAGCACGCTTGAGAAAAAAGAAGTGGGAAATCAAGAAGATGATGGAAAGACTGGAGACTTTTTTATTCTTGTTTTTCTAGATTCTTGAATTTTTTAGGAATCTTTGAAGGATATTTTTTCTTGTCAGTTTTCTTTCTATAAATGTGTTCTTGCCATAGACCTTTTAGATAGATTTATTGTATTTAGTTGCAAAAATAAACAAGAAAAGTATTTGAAAAAGAAAAATAAAACAAGTGGTGACTTCTGCTCGCTTAGCTGATTAAAACCAATATTGTTTTTAAGAAAAGTGTATAGACTTTTTTATTATAAAGACAAAAAATCTTTTGAGAATATCTGTTTTTTGGATTGGCAAAAGGATTAGCAAAAAGATTTAATTTTTTATATTTATATATTATTAATTATATAGATATATTATTTAACTTAACTTGTATAATCTTATTTTTAATATATTATTTTAATAACATAAATATTTAATTATGGTTCTGAAAATTGGAATCGAATAGAATCAAACAGAATCGTATGAGATTCGGTCACTATTAAAAATGATGGTGAGGTATACCCCACCTATTAAATTTAATATAAACTTGAGAATCGAATACAGAATTGAAGAGAATCATTAGGATCCTTATACTAGGCAAACATGGAAAAACAATCTGGAGGAGTAAGACTAATTGTTCAAAGAGACTGGACCAAACACATAGGAAAAATAACAAGATGGCAGGAAAGAATTTTAGCCATGAAACTAACCTTTAAAGAGAGACAGAAAATAGAAGTAATACAGGTATATATACCACTACAACTAGGCCGGAAAGAAAAGAGACGATAGCATAAATGAGGAAAATCATGACAGAATGGAGGAAAAAACAAGTAATGGGAATAATAGTAATGGGAGATATGAATACGACAATAAAGGACAACATGGACAGAACAGGGATAAATGAACCAAAGGAAAGAAGAAAAGAATTGAAATGTTTAGGGAATACAATATATATGACATCTTCAGACAACATAACAAGAATACAAGTGAATACACATGGGCAAAGAATCAAAAAGCAGAATAGACATGATATGGCTCTCGGAAGACTTGAGAGAACTATGCAAAGCCTCATTCATAACAAATATCAGACAATATCTGAATACAGACCACAAGGTGGTGAACATAGAGATAGACTTGTATATAATTACAAAAGGAATCAAAAGATTCAAAACAACAAGTGAAAGGAAAGTCTATGATTATAAACAGATAACTGAAAACAAATACAGACTCTACGCGTGAAATTTAAATACAACTAATATAATACGTACTATTTCTGTGTGTACGTTCTCGCATTACAATGTATTCTTGTTCGTCCCTAATAGCAGCAAGACCATCAGCAAGCTCTAGAATTTCCCTTTCTAAAGGATCGGTGTGTGCTAATTCCATGTTGTAAACACTTGAATCTTAGTTTCGCTTAATGAAAGAATGCAAACACTCGATCTGATACACGATAGACTTACATTCATCTTCATAAACATAGATGGTTCCATGAACATTAAAACTAACAACTTTGTCGGTAACCGAAGACATTTCGTTACTAAAACAATAAGTATATCTTCCATCCAATCCTGCGACAAGACTAAATGTTCCAGTGCTTTGTCTGACAGATGAATCTAAAATACGATCAGAGGGATCATACACCTATAACAATTGAATTGAAGGTAGAAACTTGGATGAGCAGAACGCCTTATTTATAAATTGAATGTGTTTTTTCAAAAATTAGATATACCATAAAATCTATATCCAAGTGTCCACCATCGCCAACCTGATAGGTTATGGACATTTTGTCTCCCTTATGTAAAGTTTCAAAATAACAATCCTTGGTACTTGCTGGGATTGTTATCGTATGTGCTGTCGCCAGGCTCATCAAAGACAGTAAGACGATAGTAAACACTATGAAAGACGACATCTTTTTTTTTTTTGTATTGAATGAAGAAGTATCACTTCGATATTATATAAAGGAAGTTCGAAATTGCACGTGAAAATTTGTGAAACTTTGATCATTTTTTTTTTCATATATAAAAACTCGCAAGTAGAAGATAGATGATCCCTTTCTTTTTATCAATATGAGCACTTTTGAAAAGGTATATATGTTGATTTAAAAATTAGAATATTTGTTCTTTTTATCATGCTTCGTGGTCAAAAGGTTGAACTATTTATTCATGATAATCTTAAATAAGGTGATTATTATTGACGCCAAAGGTCACCTACTCGGACGTCTGGCTTCCATCGTGGCCAAACAAATTTTATCTGGTCAGAGGATTGTCATTGTCCGTGCTGAAGCATTAAATGTGTCGGGATCTTTCTTCAGGAATAAGAGTATGCTCGAATTTTATATTTTTATTTGTTTCCACCTTTTTTTTTGACATACCAAAATTGAAATTTTAAATTTTATTAATTTTATTACAAAACTATCGATAGTCAAGTACCACGATTATCTCCGTAAGCGGATGGTTGTTAACCCAGCACGTGGTCCTTTCCATTTCCGGGCTCCTTCCAAAATCCTTTACAAGACTATTCGCGGTATGATTCCACATAAAACATCTCGTGGTGCCGCTGCTTTAGGGCGTCTTAAGATTTTTGAAGGAATACCACCCCCGTACGATAAACAAAAGCGTATGGTTGTCCCTGATGCACTGCGAGTTTTGCGACTGAAACCTGGTCGTAAATACACAACCATCTCTCGTCTTTCCAAAGAAGTTGGCTGGAAATATGAAGAAGTTGTTAAGAAATTAGAGGAAAAACGTAAGGCAAAGAGTCAAGCATTCTATGAGCGTAAGAAGGAGCTGGCCAAAATTCGAACTCAAGCTCTAAAAAGCAAAGGTGGTGAATTGCAAAATATTCAACAAAAAATTTCCACTTTTGGTTATTAATAAAGAATGTTCTGAAGAATTTGATCTATTACACTTCAATGATTCACAAAATTAAATAACTTCACCAAATCCAACATTCAAGGTTAATGACTATTTATGAGCGGTATTAAAAAATAAAACGTGTTAATATATACCCTATATTTTAGAATTTTAAAGAAAAAATATTGCAAGACTTTAACGTGATTCAAAATTGATCTTTTGTATAAAACCAAAAAATCCTTTGCAATACATTAGCAAATAAAGGTTATAATTAAAATTAATAATTGCAAATGAACATTTGAAAAATTAGGTGTATTATATTTAAATACAATATAAAATAGTAACTCTCAATCAGGCTGAAATTATTTGTTTATTGAATCAAATGAATTATTATAATAAAACACGGGTAATAATATGTTGCTTATTTATTAAATAAAAATTAAAATCTATCTGTTCAAAGATATTATAGTTTACAAATTACTTTTACAAATCATATAATATAAATTTAAATTAAATTTTTAATTATTTTTATCATATTTTATAAATTTATATATTGTTTTAACAAAGTTTAATAAAGCCTTGCATTTAATATTTGTCAAAAAAAAAATCATGTTATTTTCTTTTATATTTTATATTTTATTAATATATATTTTCAGATTCAATTTTTTTTTTAATAATATAACTTTTGAAATATATTTTTTTTTATATTTTTAATTTCGAAAAATTAAATTTTTTAAATATATAAATATATACTGTAGATACAATATATTATATATGAATCTGTAGATCTATAATAGAATGATTTATGCTTTTAAATTCAAATTACAAAAAAAAAATTTTTTTTTAACTTAATTAGCTGGATCCTGTCTAGCATATATTTTATTTGGTTTATATAATATATATATCTATTATATACTATAGGAAATTAATATCTATAAACTATTTTAAAACTATATTATACTATATTAGATTTTATTTTCATATTAGCTTGTTACTATTGACCTTATACTTAAAGATCTTATTAATTAAGGCTAATGTGCTATAGTATTATTAGTATCATTATTATATATTAAATTTTATTTTTAATAGAATATATTAAGAAGAAATTAAATAAGGAAACTAAAGATAATATTTATATTAATAAATAAAACTTTACAAAAGAAATATTTTAAATTTAATTACTTATAAATAAGCATATTATTTAATTTTTATCTTTTCTTAAGCTATCCAAAAATGTTCAAATAACTTATCTTACAGATTTATTGTTTATAACTTATTTTAATTATTAATATTTATTGCTATTTTAATTATTTTTTTGAAATAAGTAATTGTTAAAGTAATCTATTATTAAGTTAAAATAAAAACTTTCAAAAAAAGATATCAAGTATTATAGAAAAACAATCACTAAATCATTTTTACTAAAAATATTATCTTATATATCTTATAATTTCTGACAATTATTATAGTATCAACTAAATAATTATTATATTATAATATCTTTTCTGGAAATTATAATCTTAATATCTATTGGATTAGTATATGAATTAGCTTTTTATAAAAAAACAATACTTAAAAAATTATAATATCAGATATATTAATTTTATTCAACTATCTTTACTTGGAATTAAATTAATATTAATTTAATTTATAAATTATTAATTAATATGTTATGGATCTATCGATTAATTTAAATTATAAAATATCAATTTAATTACAAATAATAGTAATTAAATTAAATTAAAAATAATATTTGATACTATAATTTTTTAAAAGTATTATTTCTTATAAAAAATTATATTACATATTAATAGGACTTTAAAAAGTATCAAATTGATATTAAAATAATATTGAAATATTATTATTAAAAATCTTATATACTAATGTAATAAATATTAAGATTATAATTTTTATAAAAGATATAATAATATAATGATTATTTGATTAATATTATAATAATTATTAGAAATTGCAAAAAAAATATAAAAGATATCTAATTTTAAACAAGATATTTTAATAATTTTTTTCTTGTGATATTTGATATTTATTTTTAATTATTTTAATAATTATTATTTCTGATATTATGATATTGTTATAACATAGGTTATTGCTAAATGTTATAATATGATTATTTAGTAATATAAAAAGAGCTTTAAAAGGAAATGTAAGGTTTGGTATATAATCATTTATCAAAAGACTTTGTGTCCAAGAATTAAGGCTTTTTAAGAATTCCATTGATAGATAAATCCTTTTATTAACTTTATAAATAATTAAAATATTATTTAATTAGTTTTAAATACAAATAATAAAGTATGTTATTTTCCCTATATCAATTATAATATATTACTGTTTAGTAACTCAATGATAATTAGTACCGTGAAAACTGTCCTCCTTATACAATCATATATATACAAACTTGCCAAAATATTTATGTCAATTAATTTATAAAAATATAAGAAAATTTATTAACAAAGATTTATTAAATTAATAATAAAAATAAATAATAATTTATTAAAGATTTAGGAAAGAAATAAAAGTCAAATAATATAATGGTTATAATTATGAGGAATCTATAACTATATTGTCTTCTATAAGGATGAAATAGTTATCCTTATATATTGCTTTTAATTGTATGATTATTCTTTTACTTGTTTATTAATAATGAATAATAATTTTATTTGAAATAAAAATTCCTAAATTACTCAAAACTATATTAAGTAACTAGCTTTAGTGACCTAATAAAATACAATTTTCTAGTTATTTTGCTTATAGTTTAATAGAACGACTTTGACTAGTTTTCTAATGAAATAATGAGATATTTCGCTCTTAAGATCATTTGCCATACAAAAACTATAGAAATTTAAAGGATTAACAAGAATTCACAAAGTTAATCACGTGGTCACGTAATCTCCTACATGCAACTATCTTTAATTATGATACTATTTCTTCCTATAAATAATAATTTCAAGAATAAATTCATAAAAAAATAATAAATAATATCAAAAGAAGTTAAAATAATAATAATAATTAAATAATATAATGGAATTAATTATTTTATTACAATATGACAATTATTTGGTTGATATCAAAATAATTATTAGAAATTATCTTATAATAGTTGGATCAAATAAAATATGAGTATTTATTTAATTTTCTAATTAAGATTTTCTTTATGTTTGGATATATAGACTGGATTATACTTTATTCTAATTAATTTTAATTACCTTTTTTATTATTAACTATTAAATAAAAAATTTTAAAAAAATTACTATACCAATATTATTATTTTGTATATATAATTTTTTAATAATTTACTATATACAGTATATTATATAAAGACTCTTTTATAATTGTTAGCAAAAAAATCTATAAATGAGTTGAAATTGATACAGATTATATAATATGATATAATATATCAGATTATATATTATAAAGTTAAAATAGTTTGTGGAATTTGTATAATGTAATATTAGATTGGTGAATATATTGCAAGTATTATAAATAGAAATAAAGTAATTGTTAAGAAAAAATGAATAAAAAAAAGCCAAGTGAAAATAAATTGCTTTATAATAATCTTGTATTTGTAGTACAATAATTAATAAACTTATCTTATTAAAATGTTTGTCATTTAAAAGATTTCATAAAAGCTAATAACAAGCTAATTAGTGAAAAAATTAAATTATATGAACAATAAAAAAAAAAAAAAGGTTAAAGATTTATTATATCAACAAATATCTTTGATATTACAAATAACATAATTTCAAATAATAGTCAATGGCAAGTCTAATTTTAAAGTAATGTCAAATTTGCTAGCAATAATAACACTATATTAACTATATAAGTGAAAAGATATATAATAAATAATTTATATAAATATTTAATAATAGTTCATTATTTTCTTACAAAATTGAATCTATAGATTAAATAATTAAAACTAGTAGTAGAATTTTAATCTTTTAGATAGGTCTTTTCAAAATATATAATATAGATTAGCATTTAGCTATTGTATTAGTAATAAAAGATATTTAATATAATATAAAATTGAAAACATTTAATAAAAATTTATATTTAATGTTATTATATTATAAAAAAAAAAAAATTTTACAATTTTTTTTTTTTTGCTAAAGTGTGACTTTACTCTAGTTTATTAATATAGATAGTTTTTTATATACATTTATATAAAGATTGGACTATATTATTTTTATATTAACTAGAATCCACCCACAGGTACCATAGACCATCCGGATGCAGCCTGCTACCTTGCTTGCTGACCAAGCCTTACTTTAGCTTTATATGTTCTATTCTGTTGTTTTTAGCTTCTTTTTCTTTTCCATTTAGCTATTCCGTTATGTATATATTATTGTCTTCTTTTTTCTTTCTGTTTTTGTCTGTCTCTTTTAATTTCACTTTTTTTGTTTTGCCTTTCTTTACACTTTTCCCTTTATTGTCCTTTCATTTTCTTTTACGCTTTTTTTCTATTTCATTTTTCCTCTTTCATTTCTTTACTAATTCATTTCTCTTCTTCTATATTCTTTTTGCTTGCTGTTCTATTGCTTCGTTTATCTCCTTTAGTGCCTCTGCCACTTTCTTTTTGTTTATTTCTTTCAAACTTTTGGTCCAATGTTTTGGTACCACCCCTTGTAAAATCCATGCCCAGCTGATTAGTAGTTTATTTTCTTGTACTAGGTCTTCAATTTTTTTTTTTATTTCTTTTCTCCTCTCTGTCATTATCTCTTTGTCAATATATTGCTCCATTATTTCTTCGATTCTTTTCTTTAGTTCTGCAATCTGTGGTTTTGCCATTCTACACTCCTATACATGTATTTGGTCTTCTTTTTTTTCTTTACATCTTACACATTTCTTATATTTAGCATATCTCTTGTTGTCTCTTACTTTTTTTTTTTCCAAAGTCAGCAGTTCATTGTTAAATTTCTTTTCCAGATACCTGCTACTAGTTTCTTTTTCCCGCTATTCTGCTGTACTTCTTTGTATCACTCCCATGTTACTTTTCAGTCAATTTGCTGTCTGGTTAGATAGCTTTGTATTTGCTTGTTTCTTTTGAGTTTTATTCATGCTATGAAATTCCTAATTTTATTGTTAATCTTCTATATTCTTTTCCAACCATTGTTTTGTATTCCCTTACCCCATGTTATTTCCCTATCTTTACTGATGTTCTCTTTTTCCTTTTTTATCCCTGCTCTTTTTTTGTTTTTTTTTGTTTCCCTATCCACCTCTTTGAATGTTTGGTTTTGGTTACTCTTATTTATCCATTTTGCTTTCAAGTTCACCTTCTCTTTTTCCCTTAAGATCGTGCCTAGCTTGGCTAGTACTGCTTCTTCTTTATTTTGTCTTTGTAGTTCTCTTCTAGTTTTTTCCCTTCCATTTATATACTGTTCTGCCAGTTTTAGATCTATTATTATTTTGATTTTTCCTTCTTTTTCAATTTCCCTTAAGCTTTCTATTATTGTTTCCAGCTTTGCCTGTATTGTGCTTTGTGTTATGTTTTCCCATGTCCCACTTTTTGTTGCTTTGCCATTCTCTATATACTTCCATACCCCCTGTTCCTCTTTTCGTTTTATTGTTCTATGCTGCGTCTGTGTATATTTCCCTGTCTGGAGTCTTCTCTATTCTTTTCCTTTTGTTTTCCTGTACTACTCTCGTTCTCAAAGTTTTCTGTGATTTTTGTATTCTCTTCTTGATATATAGAATCCTTCCCCTCTTCTCCATTTTAACCTTTTTCACTGCTAGCCATCATGTTTTTTCTATCTTTTTATCAAATTGGCACACCTTCTCTTTGTTAAACTCATTTAAATCATACCCTTTACATTCTTTTAGTTCTTGGGTCTCTTTGTATTCTTTGTAGTATAGAATTTTTGCTGTTTCAGTATTGATTTTCCTTTTCTTCCTTTCTACTATAACTTCCTCTCCTTGTTCAAAAGCGATCCATTTTACTCTTTTCATGTTTGTTGCTTTGTTTTTCCTAGGCATTGCTATATGCTTCTATTGACTTTTTCCTATTGACTTTTTGATTATTTCGCTATGGATTTTGCTTCAGTTTTTCTCCATTATATTGTACTATTTGAGTTTTTTCCTTTTGTTGCCATGTCCTGGGTTGATTCTTTCCCACTCCATTAGCTTTATGTCATTATCCTTTACTACTTGCTCCATGTACATCACTTTCCATTTGCTTATGTTTTTTTTTTGTTCCTTGTAGATTTGTTCATCCAACACCTCCTCAATTGTGATTGCTCCTCCTCTTCTTTCTGTTATTTTTTCCTATCTCTCTGTTTCTATTTTGAAGCCTTGTTTCAGACTCTCGTATATCATATCTGCAATTATACTTCTCTTTCTTTCCTTATGTAAGTCTTTGCTATTTTGTGTTACTTTTTTGTTGACCATGCTTCCTCTTGCAGTTGTGAGAGTCTGATTTCTTTTATGCTCCCAAGTATTCCTCTATCTTCTAGAATTGTTTCCAGACCACTTAATCTTGTTAGAGCTAATCTTTCTTTGATACCCTTAATATTACTCAATGTTTGGCTTCTCAAAACGCTACTTGAAAAGTTGCTCACAAGACTATTTTTCTATTTGTACACTCCATCTATATTTCTCTGCCATTTTTCTATTGTGCTTTCCTAAATGTGTATATTTGCTGCTAGATATTCCATTGCCGGAAGGATTACTCCATTTATTAGATATCTGACTATCTTCACTGATATCTTCCTTCTCCTTATTGTATTGAGGTTGTGTGTCACTATATGGCTCATTTTCTTTAATTGTGTAGCTTTTCCTGGCTTTTCTTGTATCCAAGATTCCAGGAATCTT